TTCTAAATCTAATTGCAATTTTATAAATCAGTGCATTTCCAAATGTCCAAATTTTTACATTAGAAATGATCAGAATATACATGTGTGGATAATATGGTATAAACACCATGATACATAAAATATTTCTTCCTGTTTTGGTATTTCTTTATAGCATGAGATCTAGACTTTTAGAGTGCACGATAATTACCTTCTCATTGTCTTCACGTTTAATGAGGGTGTCTAGTGATTCAGAATCAGATACTCTGTGAACCACCTTTTAAAAAAACATTGCTTTATAGCGTTTGCAATATTATCATTTATGGTATAGAACATAAGTATGCTATGCTTTGAAAGGATTAGAAGTCCTTTCTATAAAAAAATTTTGCTTACAATGTGACAATTTATGCTTCCAGATGTCTCTACTGCTGAAAAATTAATTTTGTATTAATTGTGGTGTGTTGCACAACGTCACTTTAGGAAGTGTTTAGAAGAGTTTCTTTCCTTTGTATATTTCTTCCTACACGTCTACTTTGTGTCTAAATAAATGCCTTTTAATTGACTGGTCATACAATTTTGTCTGTGCCTTATGTGACACTGCCAGCCATGATTTAACAACACTATATACCGGTTTCACTCAACTCAAACATCGTTCCTCTAAAGCTCTACCCCAAAGGGAGATTTGTTAAAGAACATTCTCTTCTAGATTTTTTAAAGAGTGATGTATACATTTATGGACTTAAATTGACCTTCTCTGCAGTTCGTGTTTATTATCATACACCGCCCTGCCTGCTTCGTGTCACATCTTCATTTCACACTTTGATTAGCGTAATGATTAAGTGCAAATGGTCTGACCTCTTTTCTTTATCAAAAATTCCTCAGTACACCTCCTTCTGTCCCCTAAAAGTCAGGAAGTGAATTGTTTTGTCTTCTAGGGCACTAACTTTTTTCGTTACTTTGTGACTAGGGTTTCTAGTGCTGCCCCACCTCCTTCCTGGTTTTTCTGCTTTGGGTGCATATGTACATGGTTGATCTTTGTGGGAAAGCCTTTTACCTTGTTCCTTTAAAGCACAGGAGATGGCTCTGCTCTGCCCCGTCTGTCTTCACGCTTCTATCTGTGGCTGGCCTTCAAGCCCAACTGTGTTCTGGACCTGCATCCTCCACACCTTTAACTCTCCCCTCTGCTAGAGTCACGGCTGTCTAGATCCTAAAATAAAAGTCCCCATGAGCGTTTTTACCCCTGATCATGACATAAGTCCACTGTTTCACTGCAGCTTGAATCACTCTTAGTGTTGCGGGGAGATTATTGCATCTTTAGGAGATAAATGCACTTTATAGAGAATATTCGGGCTCTGGTCCAGGATAGTTCAATAAATATTTGCAGATGATCACGTCAATCACTTCTCTACTTTGTCACTCAGTTTCTGGAGATGCATATCTATAGGTTTAGATACTATCGTTAGGAAACGTCCCTACAATTAGCAAATATCTTAATATTGTTAGCTTCTAACATGTACTAGATACACAGTGACACTGGAGAAGGAAGAAAAGAAGAAGAAAGGTGTTTCTGTCTACATTTCAAATATCAAGTTCTGCATATAACTGCTTCCTGAGTCTTGTAATACCAAACACTGATTAAAATGATTTTTGTATGTTTTTCATTTATTCAGAAAATTTATTATAATTCCTACAGATACAGATTTAGATGGAATTTATTTTTATGAGAGGATGAATTGGACTTACACATAGAATTCAAAGAAGGAGAAAATAGAAATTGTATATGATAAATTTATATAAATCAACATGTAATAAACAAATATAGTAAATAAGTAAAAACCCATTATATCTTATGTGTAAAGGGATGGGAATTTAGTAACTGAATTTTAATTTTGAATTACTTACGACATTTCTTTTTTTTAATTTCAAAATATTTTTCCTATTCATTTGAACACTTTCAGGTTATTGATATTCTCCAGTCTCTCTCATGCCTGGTGTGCACTTGAAGTGTCCCAAAATGATGATGTGGTATCACCATAAACTAGCTTTTTAGCATTCCAGATTATAGTTAGAAATTTTATACCAAGAGTATTCTTTTCAAGGTCAAATTAAAAAAACGTGATATATAGTAGGTGATCTTGCCAATCTGTGAGGAAAAAAGGGTGAAATTTAAATATAGCTGCAATCTCTATTCTAAAGTTAAAAAGAGAGAGAGAAATGAATTAGACTTATACCAATAAAACAAGTCAAAGGCTTAAGTGCTTGTATTTTTCCATATTTAGCAATTTTATCGTCTATGAAAAGCCCTAAATGGCTTGAAATTCTGTGCTAGGAATAAAAAATATTGCCGCTTAATTCACATGGCATTTTATACTTTTTAATGCACAGCCGTTTAGGGAAAAATCAGTTTCAACTTAGAAAAACTTGACGATACACTTCATCCCTGCTCGTCCCAGATAGAATCAGTGTGTTCCATGGCTTGAAATTATCCGGCTGGTTTAGGTACCAGTGGTGCCCATTCTGAAGCAATTTCTACAGCGTGGTGTTCTCAATGAACAATCACACTAACGATATGAAATGAGTGCACTGCTCTCTCTTTGTTTCATCTTCTCAGGTTTGGGGGGACAGTGAGGCAAACTGGTGATTCTCAAACCTTAATGCATAAGAATCGTCAGGGATGATGTCAGCATGCCGATTTTGATTCCATAGTTCTGGGGGAAGTAGGGCCGAAAACCAGCCTCTCTTTCAGGCTCTTACACCGTGCTTTGAGAGCAAAGAAGTAAAGGAAATTGACCATTCACTTACCCATGTAGAAAGATGGGTTTATGTACATGTCTGTAGCAGAGGAACCTGACCTGCCAATTTGACCTCATTTTGCCTTTTCCTTAATATCGGATACAAGGAGCCTGGTTATGAGTTTCTTTGAGGATAGAACAATATAATGCATCTAGCATAGTGACTAGCATTTAGGGGCATTAAAAATGTTATCTTCATCCCTTTTCTAGTTTCTCCTAGAGCTGCTTGTCCAGACTCCGTAGCCCAGATCCAGAGCCTGCCTCGTGAGTGGGCGCCGTGTGGACTTACACAGGCTCCTGCTCTCAGAAGTGCGTGATGCTGGCTGTTGCCCATCATGAAATTCTTAATAGTTTATCTTTGATCTTGTGTTTTTAAGTGAAGTCTGATGGGACAGTGGAGCATGCGCATGAGCAGGGGACACATGTGGACCAGTCCTGTGGGCAAGGCAGACAGCACACATCCTCGTGTTGCTTTGGGACCCACAATTGTGTAGCTGGCTGGCCCAGCATAGACCTTTTCTTCCATTTTCTACTAGTTTTTGTGTCTGGTTTAACTAAAGTCTTACCCACCTTCCCCATCCCAGCCCCATTAGTCAAAGTCCCAATCAGTTAGCAAATCTAATCAATTCATTTGTGTTAGTGTTAAGAACAAGAACTAAAGTTAAGTCCAAGGCCGCATGAAGAATTTTGAGCCTGTCTACTGTAAAGAAGCCCTTCTCCCCCATGTGTCACCCTGGATAACCCATTAGTACTGTGTAACCTGGGATCCTAGAATGAGGAATGAGAAGATTGAAGCCATCAAGTCTTTAGCACTGTTTCAAATGTGTTTTTGATTCTATAAAGTACCATAGCTGCATATTTTGTTTATTTGTATGGTAAGGGTTAGTATGGGCAGTTGTCAGGGTTAAATAATACTTAGAGTTAATCTATCTGATATTTTAGGCTGAAGTCCAATATCATGCAATGCATTTTTATTTAAATGTGTTAGTGCCTTAAGTGAAGGCAGTTCCTCTAGGAAAGTGCCTGATCATAGCTTTAGGGTCTGTAAATATGGGTCCTGTTTACCTAAGAACATACCTTGAGAATTTGTTTGTTGTTTTTAAACAAAAGAGAGAGAGAGAGATTGAATATAAAATATTTATTCTTACATTATGTTTTTCTGGAAAGATAGAATTCCCAGATTCACACTTAAAATTTTTCATAAAGACTGCTAAGTGTGGGGCCGGCCCGGTGGCGCAAGCAGTTAAGTGCGTGTGCTCCGCTGTGGTGGCCCTGGGGTTCACTGGTTCGCATCCTGGGCGCGCACCGGTGCACCACTTGTCGAGCCATGCTGTGGCAGCGTCCCATATAAAGTGGATGAAGATGGGCACGGATGTTAGCCCAGGGCCAGTCTTCCTCACCAAAAAGAGGAGGAGTGGCAGATGTTAGCTCAGGGCTGATCTTCCTCACAAAAAAAAAAAAAAGACTACTAAGTGTGCTTGAAAAACAAAAAGCAATACAACTGTATCATAGGGTTTTGCTTATAATAGGAAACAATCTTTTAAGGACCTTTTAAAATGTGCATGCATTATAATTGGAGTGTTTTACACTAAATGTGAAGATAACAAATTTTATTATTTAAAGAAAAGCTTGATTACATCATGTTCACCACCAAAATACTAATTACAACCCATCTATGCAGAAATAGAAGTACAATGATGTACACCTGAAACTTTTACAATGTTATAAACCAATGTTACTGCAATAAA